AGGTGAGTCATGAGGAGGAAGGAGCCAACATCCCTGCAGTGTTTCTGGAGAGTGTCCAAGTCCTGATCCCTGCATTTCCCTTCCCTTTACACGTCAGCGGAACCTTACAGGTGTGTGTGTCACTTGAGGGAGAGATAGAGAGAAAGAATCAGAAACAGAAACAGAAACAACGACACAGAAAGAGAAAGAGAGCCATGGGGAAAGACAGAGAAAAGGGAGAAGCAGAGATAGAAAGACATGAAGAGAGAGACAAACAGATACAGAGATTGAGGTACAGACAGAGAAAGTGATAGAGTTGGAGAGACAGAGATAGGCATTGAGGGAGATAAAGAGGGACAGAGAAAAAGAAAAAGGACAAAACAGAGGGATAGAAAAAGACAAAGACAGACACAGGAAAAGACAGATTTCAGGAGGCGAGGGCAGCCTTGGGCAGTGATGAGTGGGCTCTGAAATACCTCATTAACTAAAGAGGAAATTGGTTGAGCATGGTGGCTCACACCTGTAATCCCACCACTTTGGGAGGCCAAGGCAGGAGGATCACTTGAACTCAGCAGTTCAAGACCAGCCTGGGCAACAGACCAAGACCCCATCTCTACAAAAAACACGAAATATGAAAAAATAGCCAGGCATGGTGGTGCACACCCCTAGGTCCCAACTACTTAGGAGGCTGAAGTGAGAGTTTCGTTTGAGTCCAGGAGTTCAAGGCAGCAGTGAGCTATGATCATGCCTCTGCACCCCAGCCTAGGACCTTGTCTCCAAAAAAAAAAAAAAAAAAAAAGGAAATTGGGAAATTGTGGCTCAGAGAAGTGAGGTCATCCAACCAGGAAGTGGTAGCAGCAGAGCACACAGCTCCGCATGACCCTCAAACCTGAGTTTTCTCTTCACTGAGAGATGCCCCCCACCCACCCCAGACCTATTTCATAGGTGGGAAAGTCAGGGATCAGTGGAGTGAAGCCATTTGCCCAGGGTCACCCGGAAGCAAGTGGCTGAGCTGGGTCTCAAGCCTGCTTGGACCAACACCCCAACGTTCTACTTCCGCACCTCATGTACACTCCTATCTAGTTTAGTTTTCACACCAGCCCCAAGAGGGATCCCCTTCTCCAGCTGAGAAAACTGAGGCTCAGAAAGAACATTGTTGGCCCAGGGTGACCCAGCCAGGGAAGGTCCCACTTCAGCAGCTGACGCATGATAACTGCTGACATCAGACTCAGTGACAGGCCTCCATCTTCCTTCCTACTCCAGGAAGAGGTGAAAGTCCAGAGTTGCAACAACGATAATACTGGCAGCTATTGCTTTTATTGAGCACATACTATGTACCAGGCACTGTGGCAAGCATCTTAGGTGCATTCTTCTTTTTGTTTGTTTGTTTGTTTTAGGTGGAGTCTAGCTCTGTCGCACAGGCTGGAGTGGAATGGTGCGATCTTGGCTCACTGCAACCTCTGCCTCCCAGGTTCAAGCAATTCTTGTGCCTCAGCCTCCTGAGTAGCTGGGACTACAGGTGCATGCCACTACACCCAGCTAATTTTTTTTGTATTTTTAGTAGAGACAGGGTTTTGCCATGGTGGCCAGGCTGGTCTTGAACTCCTGATCTCAAGTGATCCACCTGCCTTGGTCTCCCAAAGCACTGGTATTACAGACGTGAGCCACCACGCTCAGTCGTTTTAGGTAGATTCTTTTAGTTCCCCAGTACACTAGCCCTGGGAGGGTGATCGTTGCTATCTCTACTTTCAAGATAAGGGGCTTGGGCACACAGAGAGATTAAGTAACCTGCTAGAGGTGACACAGCCAATATGTAGATGGAATTTAAATTCTCAAAATCTGAGACCAGTTCCCACACTCTTAACCACTGGGCTATACTACTTCTTAGGAAATTCTTTGGGAGTTCTTTTTTTTTTTCAGTCTCACTTTTGTTGCCCAGGCTGGAGTTCAGTAGCTCAATTTTGGCTCACTGCAGCCTCAAACTCCTGAGGCTCAAGTGATCCTCCCACCTCAACCTCCTGAGTAGCTGAGACCACAAGTGTGCACCACCACGCCTGGCTAATTTTTGTATTTTTTGTAGAGACAAGGTCTCACTAGGTAGTCCAGGCTGTAATTTTGTTTATTTTTTTATGGAGACAAGGTCTTACTTTGTGGCTCAGGGTGGTCTCGAACCCCTGAGCTCAAGCGATCCTCCAGCCTTCGCCTCCCAAAGTGCTGAGATTACAGGCATGAACCACCGTGCTCACCATTGGGAGTTTTTTGTTTTTTGTTTTCTAACCTTATCTTAAAATCATTAGCTTACAGCTTCAATGAATTAGTAAGAATCACATAGTATAGGCTGGAAGCGGTAGCTCACGCCTGTAATTTCAGCAATTTGGGAGGCCAAGGTGGGTGGATCACCTGAAGTCAGGAGTTAGAGACCAACCTGGCATACACAGTGAAACCCCATCTCTACTAACAATACAAAAATTAGGGCCAGGTGCGGTGGCTCACGCCTGTAATCCCAGAACTTTGGGAGGCTGAGGCAGGTGGATTACCTGAAGTCAGGAGTTCAAGACCAGCCTAGCCGACATGGCGAAACCCCATCTCTACTAAGAATACAAAAATTAGGGCCAGGCGCGGTGGTTCAAGCCTGTAATCCCACCATTTTGGGAGGCTGAGGCGGGTGGATCACCTGAAGTCAGTAGTTCAAGACCAGTCTGGCCAGCGTGGTAAAACCCCGTCTCTACTAAAAATGCAAAAAAACTCGCCAGGCGTGGTGGAGAATGCCTGTAATCTCAGCTACTCAGGAGGCTGAGGCAGGAGAATCTCTTGAACCTGGGAGGCAGAGGTTGCAGTGAGCCGAGACTGCACCATTGCACTCCAGCCTGGGTAACAAGAAAGATACTCCATTTCAAAAACAAACAAACAAAAATTAGCCAGGCATGCCTGTAATCCCAACTACTCAGGAAGCTGAGGCATGAGAATCGCTTGAACCCAGGAGTTGGAAATTGCAGTAAGCCGAGACCACGCCATTGCACTCCAGCCTGGGAGACAAAGTTAGACTCCATCTCAAAAACAGCAACAACAAATCACATAGTATAATCATTATTACAGCAGTAGAAGTAGCTACCACTTACTCATCCCCTACGATTCTCTTCCTCTCCTACTCTGTTCCAGCCACACTGACATCTCTTCCATTCCTAGAATCTCATCAGGCTTCCCCCTCAAGGCCTTCGCACTGGCTGTTCCTGCTTCCTGGAAAGGTTCCCTGCACATCTGCCCCACTTCTTCCCTCACTGCATTCAGCCTCTGCCTGAATGCCACTTGCGCAGGGAACCCCTCCTGGATCACCCACCTAAAACAGCTCACGCCTCACTTACACCCAGGTACTTCCTTCAGCCTGCTTTGCTTTCTCCAGTTTGCTTATCCCTCTCAGACAGTGAAAGTTTAGATAACACGTATCTGCTCCCCACTGTCAACACCACAAAAGGTGGGAACTTTGCTTTGCTTCCTGCTGTGCCCCCAGCTCCTGGACCAGTGCCCAGCACAAATTATGTCCTTGGTAAAAGTTAAAGGAATGTGTTGAGCCCTCCATTTTGGCCGGCAGCCATTTCAGGCATTGCACCTACATTAAATTGCTCTGTTTAGCTAGATGCATCCTAAGAAGGGGAGACAATGTTATCTTTAGTGTTTTATTTTACTTAAAAAAAAAACTTGGCCAGGTGCAGTGGCTCATGCCTGTAATCCCAGCACTTTGGAAGGCCAAGACAGGAGGATCACCTGAGGTCAGGAGTTCGAGACCACCCTGGCCAACATGATGAAACCCCATCTCTACTAAAAATACAAAAATTAGCCGGGCATGGTGGCGTGCGCCTGTAATTCTAGTTACTTAGGAGGCTGAGGCAGGAGAACTGCATGAACCCAGGAGGCAGAGATTGCAGTGAACCAAGATAGCACCACTGCACTCCAGCCTGGGTGACAGAGTGAGACTTCGTCTCAATAAATAAATAAATAAATAAATAACAAAAAGAAAGAAAATACTTATTATAAGCCTTTTCAAACACACAGAAAAGGAGACAGAATGGCATAATATGCCCCTATATACCCGTTACCTTTATATAATTAATACAACCATTTGGCTATTTTGCCTTTATTTTCCACTCAAGTGTTTATTTATTTATTTATTTATTTATTTTTTGAGACAGGGTCTTGCTCTGTTGCCCAGGTTGGAGTGCAGTGGTGCAATCATAGCTCACTGCAGCTTCCAGTTCCCAGGCTCAAGCGATCCTCCCACCTTAGCCTCCCAACTACCTAGGACTACAGGTACGGGCCACTGCACCCAGCTAATTTTATTTTATTTTTAATTTTTTTTTTGAAAGACAAGGTCTCTTTATGTTTCCCAAGCTGGTCTTGAACTCCTGGCCCCAAGTGATCCTCCTGCCTTGGCTTCCCAAAGCATTGGTGTTACAGACATGAACCACCTCATCTGACCTCTTCTAAAGTATTATAAAATAAATACAGACATCAAAATGAAAACAAAAGAAAAAAAGAAAAAAAAAAACCAAAAATCTCCAAAACAACAACAAAAAATGCAGACATCAGTCACATTCACCCCTAAATACTCTAGTGAGCATCTGGAAAAAAAAAAGAAAAGAAAAAGAAAAAAGAAAAAAAAAGAATCCACCTAAGCACAAAGCCATTGTCGTAACAGTGTATCTTTTTACATTTTTGGCTGAAGTGTTTTTTGTTTGTTTTTTGAGACGGAGTCTCCTTCTGTGCCAGGCTGGAGTGCAGTGGCACGATCTCGGCTCACTGCAACCCAACCTCCGCCTCCCGGGTTCAAGCGATTCTCCTGCCTCAGCCTCCTAAGTAACTAGGATTACAGGCGCAGGCCACCACGCCCGGCTAATTTTTGTATTTTTAGTAGAGACAGGGTTTCACCATTAAGTGTTTTAATGTAGGTGCAATGCTTGGAATAGCTGCTGGCCAAAATGGAGGGCTCAACGCATTCTTTTAACATTTACCAAGGACCTACTTTGTGCTGGGCACTGGTCCAGGAGCTGGGGGCACAGCAGGAAGCAAAGCAAGGGTTAAGTGTGTTAAGTGTTTAAGAGATGCATATTTCAGGATGCCTCTCTAGATAAGGACATTATCCCTCCTGACAAAACTAACAAAAATCCTGTTAGCTAATAATCAGCCACATTCATATTTACCGTCAAAGCTTTTATCCTCATTTTACAGCAGTGGAGAGCGAATGCCCCAGGTCCCACATTAGGAAGAGAGAGAACTGGGATTTGCACCCAGGCAGTCTGGGGACACAGCTGTGACCACAGCTCCATGAGTCAGGGCCGAGCCAACCCCTTCACCACCAGCTGGCCGCGCCCCGGGAAGGGAAGTTTGGGGCGGAGGAGGTTCGTACGGGAGGAGGGGGAGGCGCCCACGCATCTGGGGCTGACTCGCTCTTTCACAAAACGTCTGGGAGGAGCCCCTGGGGCCACAAAACTGCCTCCTTCCTGAGGCCAGAAGGAGAGAAGAAGTGCAGGGACCCCGCGCACAGGAGCTGCCCTCGCGACATGGGTCACCCGCTGCTGCTGCCACTGCTGCTGCTGCTCCACACCTGCGTCCCAGGTAGGGGCTGGGTCCCGAACGCCTGCGCCTGGAACAGGGTCTGATTGAGGGGAGTGGGGGTTGTCAGAGGATGAGTTGAGGAATGGGGTTCAGTCCCCAGCACCCTCCCTAATCAAATTATAGTAATTTTCGTGCTTTGTGCAACGCTACGCGGCGCAGTACCTGACTCTCGGTAGCTAAGGAAATATTAGTGGAGCAAAGGCGTTTAGCTTTACATAATTTAGTGAGTGCTTTTTTTTTTTTTTTTTTTTTTTTTACGGAGTCTCACTCTCTCACCCAGGCTGTAGTGCAGTGGCGCGATCTTGGCTCACTGCAACCTCTGCCGCCTGGGTTCAAGCGATTCTCCTGCCTCAGCCTCCTGGGTAGCTGGGATTACAGGCGCCTGCCATCGCGCCCGGCTAATTTTTGTATTTTTAGTAGAGACCGGGTGTCACCGTGTTAGGCAGGATGGTCTCAATCTCCTGACCTCGTGATCCCCCTGCCTCGGCTTCCCAAAGTGCTGGGATTACAGGCGTCAGCCACCGCGCCCAGCCCAAGTGCTTTTTTTTTTTTTTTAAATGGAGCTCTTCGAAGCCTCTTCCTTGTAATTTCAAGGAACTATAAAATGGGACTATTATTAATTTCGTTTCGCAGAGGAAACTGGGGCACAGAGAGGTTAGATAACTGGCCTAAAATCACACAGACAGTGCTCGAATAAGCAGGATCTGACCCCGCAGCGCCCCCCAGCGCTCTCCATGCTGCCAGGTCTCCCCCTCCGAGAAACGAGGGGACAGGACTCCCTTTTACAAAAGGGCCAAGGGAGGCTGACTGAGCGGTGCAGAGCCAGTGCTGGAGACCCGGGACTGTCCCTCAGGACCTTTCCCTCTCACTGAGGCGACTCTCACCTACTTCCCCGGAAAATGTGGGCGACACTGGGTAGAGAAACAAGAGGAATTTGAGAAGGAACTGAGTCAGGGCGGGTGGCCACGGGGTGTTGCGGCCGCAATGAATAACCCGGAAAGCGCTCGAGACCGCGGGAGGCCTGGAATGAGTAACAACTCCGGGATACTCTGAACGCATAGCTGGAAAGGGATGTCGGGGAAGGCCCGGAGGTCCGGGACCCGGCCTAGGGACTGGGCTACAATCTCGGGGAGGAGCCTGGGGCGGGGAGAGAGTGTCGGGGAGGAGCCAGAGGGCGGGGCTGGAACCTCAAGGAAGAGCTTGGGGAGAGGTTATAGCCCCGAGGATGAGCTAGGGGCGGGGCTAGAACCTCGAGGCGGAGCCAGAGGGCGGGGTTATAACCTCGAGGAGTAACTAGAGGGCGGACTTATAACCTCGGGGAGGAGCTGGAAGGCGGGACTAGAATCTTAAGGGATAGGATTATAACATCGGGGAGGAGCTAGAGGGCGGGGCTGGAACATCAAGGAGGAGCTAGGGGCGGGGTTATAAGCTTGCGGAGGACCTACGGGGCTGAGTTAGGACCTCAAGGGGCCAAGGGGCGGGGTTACGACCTCGGGGAGGAGTACAGGGTGGGGCTGAAACCTCAAGGAGGGACTGGGGTGGAGTTATGACCTCAGGGAAGAACTAGCGGCGGGGAGAGCCTCGGGGAAAGCTAAAGGGCAAAATTAGAACCACAAGGAGGAGCTAGAGGACAGGACTAGAGCCTCGAGGAGGAGCTAGGGGCGGGGTTATGGCATCGGGGAGAAGCCAGGGGGCGAGAAGATTAGGTCAGGAAGAGCTAGAGGGCGGGGCTAGAACCTCGAGGAGGAGTCTAGGGCGGGGCCAAAACCTAGTTGGGGAGCTGAAGGGCGGAGACAGAACTTCGCGGGAAACTGGAGTATCTGACGATAGAAACTCGGGAGGGCTGATGGCCCGGGCCACAATTTGGGAATAAACTAGTGGGCGGGGAGAGGCTCTGGAGCCGGGTAGAACCAGGGGGAGTGAGTGGAGGGATAGTTCCATTAGGGCACTAGGAGTGGCGGTATAACATAAAGATAGACAGGGGTGGGGCGAGGCTAGAACTCCCCTAGTGGAACTGGAGAGGCGTGATCGACCGAGGGCCGGCGCGGTGAGAAGGGCCTAGTGGGAGCAGGAATAGAACGTACTGATAGACAGAGAGGGCGGGGATAGGACTGTCAGGATATACGCCTCACGAGGACAGAATGAAAGGAAAAACAGGCCAGGACAGGACTTTGGGAAAGGACTTGTGGGCAGGGATAGAACGTTCAGTTAGGGGGATGGAGGTAGAACGTGGACAAAGGACAGACTGGAAGTACCGCCGGCCGGAACCCAGCAGAACATGGAACACGAATCAGAATGGACGGGGCCTAGAGACTTGGTGTTGGTATTGGGACATGCAGGGGCGGTCTTGGAGCTAAGCGAAGTTAACCTCTCCTCTCCTCTCCTCTCCCTCCTTCCCCCAGCCTCTTGGGGCCTGCGGTGCATGCAGTGTAAGAGCAACGGGGATTGCCGGGTGGAAGAGTGCGCCCTAGGACAGGACCTCTGCAGGACCACGATCGTGCGCGTGTGGGAAGGTGAGCTTCCCTCCCACACACACACCCCTCCAGCGCAGCATGGAACGCGAGTGATTGAGAAACCTTCCTCACCCGTAACTGGGAAATGCAAACTAAAAACAAACAAACAAACAAGGAGAGCCCATTTCACACCCACCAGACTGGCAAGCCTTTAAAAATCTGACAATACCCGGGTTAGTAAGGATGTGGAGTTGCAGACCGTGTCTGTGGTGGGGGAGTAAATTGGCACATCAACCACCTAGAGCGATTTGGCAATATCTAGTCCAGAAGAAGATTAGCATATGCTACAGCTCAACTCCTCGGCATGCAGAAATGCCAAAGAACCTTGGCCACATATACCCAGGGATACATGTATAAGAATGTTCTTAGCAGCAATGTTTGTGACATGGAAAATTGGAAACAGGCCGGGCACTGGCTCACACCTGTATTCCCAGCACTTTGGGAGGCAGAGGCAGATGAATTGCTTGAGGTCAGGAGTTCAAGACCAGCCTGGCCAACATGGTGAAACACCCGTCTCTACAGAAAAAAAAAAGGAAAAATTAGCCAGGTGTGGTGGCACGCACTTGTAATCTCAGCTACTCAGGAGGCTGAGACAGGAGAATTGCTTGAACCTGGGAGGCGGAGGTCACAGTGAGCTGAGATCATGCTACTGCACTCAGGCCTGGGCAACAGAGTGAGACCCTGTCAAAAAAATGAACAAAAGAGAGAAATGTGGGCCAGGCGTGGTGGCTCATGCCTGTAATCCCAGCACTTTGGAAGGCCAAGACAGGAGGATCACCTGAGGTCAGGAGTTCGAGACCACCCTGGCCAACATGATGAAACCCCATCTCTACTAAAAATACAAAAATTAGCCGGGCATGGTGGCGTGCGCCTGTAATTCTAGTTACTTAGGAGGCTGAGGCAGGAGAACTGCATGAACCCAGGAGGCAGAGATTGCAGTGAACCAAGATAGCACCACTGCACTCCAGCCTGGGTGACAGAGTGAGACTTCGTCTCAATAAATAAATAAATAAATAAATAACAAAAAGAAAGAAAATACTTATTATAAGCCTTTTCAAACACACAGAAAAGGAGACAGAATGGCATAATATGCCCCTATATACCCGTTACCTTTATATAATTAATACAACCATTTGGCTATTTTGCCTTTATTTTCCACTCAAGTGTTTATTTATTTATTTATTTATTTATTTTTTGAGACAGGGTCTTGCTCTGTTGCCCAGGTTGGAGTGCAGTGGTGCAATCATAGCTCACTGCAGCTTCCAGTTCCCAGGCTCAAGCGATCCTCCCACCTTAGCCTCCCAACTACCTAGGACTACAGGTACGGGCCACTGCACCCAGCTAATTTTATTTTATTTTTAATTTTTTTTTTGAAAGACAAGGTCTCTTTATGTTTCCCAAGCTGGTCTTGAACTCCTGGCCCCAAGTGATCCTCCTGCCTTGGCTTCCCAAAGCATTGGTGTTACAGACATGAACCACCTCATCTGACCTCTTCTAAAGTATTATAAAATAAATACAGACATCAAAATGAAAACAAAAGAAAAAAAGAAAAAAAAAAACCAAAAATCTCCAAAACAACAACAAAAAATGCAGACATCAGTCACATTCACCCCTAAATACTCTAGTGAGCATCTGGAAAAAAAAAAGAAAAGAAAAAGAAAAAAGAAAAAAAAAGAATCCACCTAAGCACAAAGCCATTGTCGTAACAGTGTATCTTTTTACATTTTTGGCTGAAGTGTTTTTTGTTTGTTTTTTGAGACGGAGTCTCCTTCTGTGCCAGGCTGGAGTGCAGTGGCACGATCTCGGCTCACTGCAACCCAACCTCCGCCTCCCGGGTTCAAGCGATTCTCCTGCCTCAGCCTCCTAAGTAACTAGGATTACAGGCGCAGGCCACCACGCCCGGCTAATTTTTGTATTTTTAGTAGAGACAGGGTTTCACCATTAAGTGTTTTAATGTAGGTGCAATGCTTGGAATAGCTGCTGGCCAAAATGGAGGGCTCAACGCATTCTTTTAACATTTACCAAGGACCTACTTTGTGCTGGGCACTGGTCCAGGAGCTGGGGGCACAGCAGGAAGCAAAGCAAGGGTTAAGTGTGTTAAGTGTTTAAGAGATGCATATTTCAGGATGCCTCTCTAGATAAGGACATTATCCCTCCTGACAAAACTAACAAAAATCCTGTTAGCTAATAATCAGCCACATTCATATTTACCGTCAAAGCTTTTATCCTCATTTTACAGCAGTGGAGAGCGAATGCCCCAGGTCCCACATTAGGAAGAGAGAGAACTGGGATTTGCACCCAGGCAGTCTGGGGACACAGCTGTGACCACAGCTCCATGAGTCAGGGCCGAGCCAACCCCTTCACCACCAGCTGGCCGCGCCCCGGGAAGGGAAGTTTGGGGCGGAGGAGGTTCGTACGGGAGGAGGGGGAGGCGCCCACGCATCTGGGGCTGACTCGCTCTTTCACAAAACGTCTGGGAGGAGCCCCTGGGGCCACAAAACTGCCTCCTTCCTGAGGCCAGAAGGAGAGAAGAAGTGCAGGGACCCCGCGCACAGGAGCTGCCCTCGCGACATGGGTCACCCGCTGCTGCTGCCACTGCTGCTGCTGCTCCACACCTGCGTCCCAGGTAGGGGCTGGGTCCCGAACGCCTGCGCCTGGAACAGGGTCTGATTGAGGGGAGTGGGGGTTGTCAGAGGATGAGTTGAGGAATGGGGTTCAGTCCCCAGCACCCTCCCTAATCAAATTATAGTAATTTTCGTGCTTTGTGCAACGCTACGCGGCGCAGTACCTGACTCTCGGTAGCTAAGGAAATATTAGTGGAGCAAAGGCGTTTAGCTTTACATAATTTAGTGAGTGCTTTTTTTTTTTTTTTTTTTT